TTTTTTAATAAAATACAATTAATTTAAAACAGTTTCATATATTTTTTGATGTCTTTTATGTTTCAAATTGGTGAGCAATTTGAGGTTGAATTGTTTTGTAAAATTTTCTACATTTTATTTTTTTTCTCATTAATTAATTTACCAAATGATCTAGAATTTTAGAAGTAATTAGATTTAAACATAAGATGCATTTTTTACTTATGCCACAAAGGTCGTTAGAACTTGCCATTGCAGTCAATTTTCAAGGCGAAAATTTCTTTACTACTTATTGAGGACCAGGAAAACTCTATTGAATGTCATCACCAACACTATGATTCAAAAAGTACTTTAAAATTTAAAAATGTCAAGAAGAAAAAAATGACACCAATTACACTATAATTCGCAAAGAAAAATGTCACCAGTCACACTGATTCGCAAACATAGGCTATGAAAAAAGGTTACCAACCAGTTACATTATAATTCGCAATATTATTTATTTTTAGTGTTTGTACATTACACTTGTGATAGATCTTGTTAAAAATTATTCACTTCATTTTGCTAATTTTCATAATTTATTAGTGCTAAACAAGTTATTTGCAAATGTGGTAAAACTAGTAGGGATGCTATCTTTCGGGGGTGTATCTTTCAAGACTTTACAGCACATGTTGCGTTTTGGCAAAACAATTACATCCGATGTGTAATTAATTAATTAAAATTTATGGATTTTCATCTACAATGCTCGTAATTAATTTCATAATTAATTCGTAACTATGTATTATGTTTTGACAAAACAATTTATATTCTTTTTATAAAAAAAAAAGATTTTGATAAGAAAAAATTTCGTGTTAAGATCGCATGAAAGACCAGTCTTTCAGTCCCATGAAAAAAAGGCTGGTCTTTGAGACCGAGACCGATCCAACCAATAAAATTATCTACATGTAGCGGCAGTGTTTTCGTGAAACCAAAATATCGTGATGCTAATTTCTGTGTAAGGCGTAGCATTTGATATATTATTTTCAAAAAATTTCATGAAATGAGTTTAAAAAATTATTTTTATTATTATAAAAAGACATGTAATATAATAAAATAAGAGAATATATTACTAAAAGGAAACTAACTACAGTCAATTAATAAATTAATTAATTACCACTGCTTGATCATCTATCAAATGATCAACATAATCATAAAATAAAATATAAAAATTCAATGCCTTCTTGGGCGTCCTTTTCTACGTTTATTTGCACCACTTGCATTATTGCTACCAATATTACCAACAACTTCAGCAGACTTTTCTATTTTTTTGATATCATCAGTTAACATGTTCAATTTGTTTTGATATTGATCAGACTCTACACTTATTTTCCTGGCTCTTTGAAAATCAGGGTTATGTTTAAAATAATAATAGTATTCTACCACTTGATTTATAGATTTGCTGGTTCTTTCTGAAATAATTCTAAAGTTTTTGCCTTCTGCTAAATAGGTGGACATGAATGTTTTTCGTTGTGATTCACTCCATTCAGACCATACTTGTAATCGTGATTTATTTATTGAAAATCCAGATGAATGTAAAGAACTGGTATTCTCAATATTAGTTGATATATGTGCTTCATTTGATGTTTGAAGGATCCTAGCAATGCTAAAACTGGTGGTGTTTATATTAGTGTTATTAGCAACAGCAGCAGATGATGATGATGATGATGATGGATGTTGTTGTGGTGGTGGTAGCATTGATGATGATAACAATGAAGGTGATTCAGCAGTACTGCTGTTATTGTTGTTATTGTTGTTGTTGTTATTATTATGATTGTTATAATTACTATCATTAGTATTATTATTGTTGTCATTATCATTAGTATTATTGTTGTTGTCATTATCATTAGTATTACTACTGTTATTGTTATTATTATTGCTGCTGCTACTTGCTATTGCTTCATTGGTCATATTAGAGTTGGAAATTTCTATCAATAAAGAAGGTAAATGAGCAGCTCTTTGTTGATAATAGGTTAATTTTTGTTTTTCTTTTTCTAATCTTTCTTCTTCTTCACGTTGTAATCTTTTTTCCCTTCTTCTGGTTACACCACTATATTTGCTAGTTGATGGCTCTGCAACAACCAAAGAAGTAATGGTGGTGGTATCAATAGCAGATCTGGCAGATTTTCTTTTCCTTGATTGTTTAATAGTCTCATCTTTAATTTTTCGACGTTTCTTTGATTTTTCTTCTATTTGTATTTGTTGATTTGAATTATTATTATTAGTTTCTAGTTTAATTGATGTATTAGTTATTGTTGTATTTGATGACAACGATGGTGGCAGTGGTACCTGATCTAATAATTGTAATGAAAATGAAGCTTTACGTTTTCTTGATCGAGTCTTTTTACCATTGCTGACTCTTTGTCCCTTTGAATTCTTTTGTTGTTGTAAATGTAAATTTGGTTGATCCTGTTGTGACGGTATTACGTTAAAAACATTATTTTCTAATGTATTTGGTGGTGATGATGATGATGATGACGACGACGTTAACGAAGACGACGACGACGACGATAATGATGATAATAATGACGGTGATTGTGATTGTGGCAATGAAGGTGATCGAATTGTAGAAGTAGTATTAATAATAGTGGTAGCCGTAATCGATTTGGTGGATTCTGATATTGGTAACGAATGTAAATGTTCGAATTTTTGTTCTTGCTTCTCCCTTTGCACCGCCTTTTGATTCACCACCTCTTCATCTTGTTGTTTATGAAGAGATTTCCTTCTAGTTCGAGTAGCAATACCAGAAGCAGGAATTTTGTATTTTTTACGTATTTCTTCTAATGTTCTCCTACGTCTAGGTTTAAGGGTAGGCTCCATATGTGATGTTGTTACACATATGTTAATTAGTGCTGATCACGGGATTTGATGTTTTTCAAGGAAGCACCAAACTTGTGACTATTACATGTCTTTAACCAATTAGAAGAATTTATCTAAAAATCATACTATAGAATAAAATTTTTTTTGGGTTGCTCATCCACTTTGTTTTTTGCTCATCTTCGCTTAACTTTTTACCTATTGCCTATTTTACTTCAGATTTTTTTAATAAATTCTTTGAATAATTACCTGCAACCTTGCTTAAGATCAAAAGACATGGTAAAAACATAAATTTTATATAAATAAATACAAAGAGAAAATGAAGACATTTTGTTGTACTTATGTTTAAAATGCCAATATTTTTGTTCTAAAAAGTAGGAACATGTTGAAATCAATTAAATTCAAGAGCTTCTAGAAATTTTGAATAGAAAAAATACTGTTGATCAGAAAGAACAAATTTTGTGAGTGAACAGAAAGGCATTTATTTAACCTTGTTGGTATTAATGGTACCCAAACTTTTCCTTTGCAATCAAGCTCAATATTAATAAGATATATAATTTTGATTGTGTAGGATCAGTTGGAACTGATTAATGGATATACAATTTTTATTTCTCTGTCAGATATTTTTTACAATTTACATAGAATCAAAAGATGAAACATTATTATGTTGATTAACAGAATATGGCACAGATCACACTTTCCCCTCATTCAAATTATTTGATAAATTAGTGATATTAATAATTGCTGCTAAAATGTAAGTTATGCTAATTTTAATATTTTATAAATAGATCATAAATAAATTAAATTTCATTTAAAATATTTTTTTGGCAATACAAATTCTTTATTAGATGATTTGGATACTGTTTACAAGAAAGATATTGAAATCAACAGTAAAGATGTAGGTAATTTAATTTTCAAAAATATTTTAATAAAGAAAACTTTGAGATGGCATTTTTCTGTGAAACCAACTATGAATGTTGGCAACAAATGGCTTGCTACCAATATTGCTGGGAAGGTGATCCAACATTCCTATTTGAGGCAGCAGCAAGATAATGTAATTTTGACAGATTTAGAAAATGAGACTTTATTAATGGCAAGTATGATACATGAATTGTTGGAAAGAGCTAGGAGGTAAGTTAGAAAAGGTAAAAAGGAAGATGTTATTGATGTATTTTTGGCCCAAACAATAAAAATATTAAAAATAATGATTTGAATACTATTGAGGGATTTGTTAGTGGGAAAAAAATCCTATATATATTAAAAAAAAAGGGGTATTGGGTGCCTTCAAAAATTATTATATTGATATTGAGATTGAATTTTGATTGGATTGAGATTAAGGTTTCCAGTCCAAACTGTTTTCTCAAAGCCCAAACTAGTTTGGGCAATTTGGGCTTCCCAGCATTTTTTATAAACATGAACATTAAAAAACT